AATTAGAATGGAAAATTATTTGGTATCATGGGAATTCTGGGAGTAAAGATGGTTTCTCCTGCACCGCAACCTATTGAAATTTGAACCTCGATTACATTTTGTTGCAACTGGGTTACTTTAAGCCGAGTTCCATTGCAAAGTTGTGGTGGTCTTAAATTTCGGAGCAGAATAATCGGAATGCCAATTTTTAAACAAATTTCATGAGAAGGAAGTACGGGCATATTTAAAGAATTTAAAAATTCTATCGGGTAATTAGTGGCTTCTTGTTCATCGGCCATTCTATTTATTGAACTATAAACTTTGCTTTCCCCCTGGATATTCGACAGTATTTTATTATTAATCTCAGATGCCTGGTCATTGCGAAGAGTTAAAATGGACCTTTCGCGTAGCCAAGAATTGTCCTTATATTTGTTACGTCACCGTAAACTGACGATGTAAGATGTTGTTGGGATTGCACTATACAACATAACTCAGGCGTCAGAATAAGTTTTCCTTGGTGTAGCAGTGGATAGGTATCTTTGGTGAAGGTATTTTCTTTAATAATATATCAGAAAATTCACGATCATCCGGGTTATCTACAGTTCTCACTCGCATGTTTATAGTCAAATGCACCGATGTATATCACGCCACAAATAAGAGCTTTTCAGGCAAGCCTTAACCTCAACAGCTCGGGTTCCCCGTGGTATTACCGGTAAGGTTTGTCGGAAATCACCACAAACTAAAACTGTGATACCGCCCATTGCTCGATTATTTTGTCTTATATCCCTTTAAGTTCTGTCTACCGCTTCTACTCCTTTTCGATGGGCCATCGTACATTCATCCCATATGATTAAATTACACTTTGAACGAATATTTAAACACTACCAAAACAACTAATACGTGGTCCTGACTTTAGCTACCTAACACTTAAAATCTAAGTGACTATTTAAACTAAAATATTCTTATAGAATTATAACCAGAAATATATACAACTCACAACAAAAAAGAAATGAAAATAAAGCTAAAACGCCTGTGCAATTCTATCTACCTATACCTACTTCACTTAAAAATAAATAGTTATAACTATTTTAATTAATAAAAGTACCTACGCTTAATAATTTTTAATTTGAATGAATATTTCAACAGTACCAAAACAACTAATACCTATTTTACAAAATAACAACAAAAGAAATTCAAATAAACTATTTAAAGACTAAAAGTCGCGCTGATAAGCACGGTTTCTCAATATTTCTCAATTATTGTCTGTTAATAAGGTCGAACGCTCTGAACTCATCAACAGCCAAATATTGAAGCTCGCTCGCTCTTTTTTTTTATTTTTTTGTTTCTTGCCAGACGGGGGAGCAGGTGAGAAATCCTCATGGATAACCTACAGCCGGCTGCAAGGTTATGTCAGACTCGTACTGACTAAAAAACACTCGTAGGGGCTGCCTCTGGCCGGGAAGGCCTCTAAGGCTTCATCGGAAGCGATCGTCCCCCAGGGGGGGGGGGGGGAGCGACGCAGAAAACAGATTTAGACAGCTCGCTCTCGGACCTCCCGCCTTTTACACAAAAATAATCCTTATAGCATGATTCAGTATTCACGTGCGACGGCGCGTTCGACATTATTTCATGTATAAGTTTGGTGTTTCTATACCGATTTCTATGTTTTGTTTTTATTGAAAAGGTAATAATGTTACCTTTTTTAAATTAGGGATGAGTCAGAGTATTATAAACGTAAGAGTAAACAAATATGATCAGAATGCTCCGAACTGCTAAGCTATCGGGAGTTACACGTGTTATTGTGAGTCAACCATAAAAGATAGACATATGCTGTTGCGGTATATTTTTTAGACAATTTTGTGTAGAATATTTCCGTCATACATGATTTCTATGTAACTTTAATCATTAAGGCTGCACACGCGACGGAAGCTTAAAAAATATAGTAATTTCTCCCGTTTTACCAACATTTCCCTTCACTACTCTGCTCCTATTGATTGTAGCGTGATGAAAAGTATACTATAACCTGCCCAGGAGTATGAAGAATAATTGTAGCAAGTTTCGTTAAAATCCGTCGAGTAGTTTTTGTTTCTATAAGGAACAAACACACAGACAGACAAAAAATTTACTGATTGCATTTTTGGCATCAGTATCGATCACTAATCACCCCCTGATAGTTATTTTAAAAATATATTTCATGTACAGAATTGACATCTCTACAGATTTATTATAAGTATAGATTAATTATCATCATCATCATTTGCCTATGTCCACACTGCAGGTCGAATGAATACGAGCATTTGTACTCCAGTCATGGATGTTTAATATGTATTTCTATATAAATGTACTTATTTATGTACTGTATATGTATTCTATCAGTTACCTTAGTATCCCATAATACAAGCCTTACAGTGCTTACTTTGGGGCTAGGCTAATTGGTGTGAGTGTTGGAAATATTAATATTATTTATTGTTTTAATATTGAACTATTGAATTAATATTTACCCATCAGCATTTAGGCACAAGTTGTGACACATCTATTAGAAAGCAGCGGAAACCGCTACCATACGAGCATATGTGCTTATTTCTAGCCTTTGCTTTTCCAGTAATATTAATTTTATTAATAAACATTGTTTTTTATCAAGGGACCAATTGTTTTAAATTTACATAAATATATTTATTAGCATTTCCTCGCCCTTTTTCGTCCGCCTTTTCGCAATTGGTTCAAGACGGTTAAATTGAAGTAACATCGATTGGCAGATAAGTGATGAATTAGGCGATCCGATGCTATTACGTCCTGTTTGACATCCAATTTAGGAAATAAAGTAGGAGAAGAGTTTTAGAAATTGAACGTGAACAACAACTTGAGTCATTTACCCAGTTAAAAGGAGTTTCAGGACCTATCCCTAACTTAAATGATATAAAATTCTGGTCTGCGTAAATTGGAAAAGATTTGAAGAATCGATTCATTATTTTTACTGCCTTTTTGAATGAGGAATTTATTTTGATTTTAACTGAAGTTCTAATACTAATCTGATTCATCACATTCGCAGAAATCAGCGCAGTAAACCCTATTAATTAAATCCGAAATAGATTATATTGGAAATACGTGTATGCCAGACGATATTACACATCAGAGGATTCAAACAGAATCAATTCCTGATCTAATTAAAAATATTCGACGTAGTTACACCCACCAGTGACATACATGCCAACATTTATTTGATTTCACGCTCAAACATTTGCGAAACACTTCACTAATGGAGCATGTCGGTACAGAAAGGGTTGTTACGATGTCGTAGAGGGTTTCTAATGATTAAACAGATCCCTATGTGTCTCATTTAGATAAACAAAGCCTTCAAAACGAGGCCTTTTTGATTATTTACAATATTAACATGACTGAACTGAGACTTTTATCACTCTTATAGTAAACGTAATTTCTTTATTATTTATTTATAAGCTATCACTTTTGAGAATAATAATATTAACTCACGATCAAAGCTCAATTTAGAATAAACTTTTCTATTACAAAGTAACAATTTAATTACAATGGTAATCGAATTAGTTTAGGTTAAGTATTTCCACTGTTTGAAAAGTCAAAGTTGATATTGAATAATTTATGAAAATATTGGGCTTCAAAAGATGGTACCCGTTCTTAGAACGGAAGCTTTCAGGTCCTTTTCCTACCAATTACTTCAATACAATTAAGAAAACAAAGTTTATATACCCCGTTGAAGTTTTCGAAATGAACAATTTCTCCTGTGGAAATAGCTGTTGTTAATCAGAAATCAATATATCTTTATTCAAATTGGATGTATAGTATAACACTTTTGAATCGTCCAAACATTTTTTTCCCCTACCACTCGTTATTGGACATATTTTTTAGCTGCAGAGAGAAACGAGCGAAAAAAACTCCACAACATTAAAAGCATAATGTAACAACATTTACAAATCATTATGTTGTTACAACGTCAATACAATCATGATTTATTTAATATAGAAAACCTGTTGTAATGATTGGAACAGGTAAAACCCAAGCATTTTTGTCTGTAATATAATCAGATACTTTGTAATAAGCTTTTTTGATAAGTGCTTTTTTAAGGTAGTATACCTTTGAATTTATTTATTTAACTCTTGGATATTGCTTGGGACTTTATTGTATAAGCGAACACAAAGACCTTTAAATGAATTATTGATTTTTAAATTAAATTAAACTCCGTACGACATTACACTATGGAAATAACTAAAGTACACTAATCTGGCCGTATCTACATCCATTAACTGGCGTATCTTCATTACGGCATATGCTGCAGAGCTAAGTCTATTTGACAATTTATCAATATGTGGGCCCCATTGAAGCTTCGAATACTGTGGTATTAAAGTAGTAGTAAAGTAATCCCTAAGAATACTGTGGTGTTCTACAAGGTGTTAAAATTTAAGTGGATAAATGAAAGTCAATTATACCAATGAATGAAATGAAACTTTTTTTCATTCATTAAACCATTATCACTTATTAATTAATAAAAGTAAATTTTATATTAATTGATATTCTTTACCTTGGAATGAGTTCACAATTATGGTACACAAATTAATGCGCAAGAGGTATTTTAAGTAAAACTTCTAGTTTTACTTAAAATGCTGTTATTCCTTCACATGTAAGCAAAACATTTGTATATATTAGAAAACTTTATTACTATTATCGCAACGCAATAAATATACATAATCCAAACACATTATGTGCTCACATTTTTAAATACGGCCTCTAAAAATAGCCTTCGTGTTCCAGTGAAGAAATCTTCATTATTTTTAGTGTTATCCTAAAAACATACATATTTTTATAACATGAATTAAACTAGAGAATCATTAATTATGACGTAAAGGCAGCGCTTACATTTACAAACAATGATCAATTTCTTATAGCTTTCTATCAAACCGGAAACACGATGCAATGAACAATTATGAGAAATGTTATAAAGAAATTATAGGAACAGAAACTGATTTATAATAAGCTTTCGATTGTTGCAGGTATCGACTAAGTGCATGAGAAGAAATTCCATCAAAAACGAGAAATAACCGGTGATGAGGTTTGTGGGTATAACGGTAAATCATGGACCTAACACATGCGAGACATGGAAGATTTTGTAGGAGACTAGAATGGAGGTTCCAAGACAAATGTCTCCTAGTCATATTGTATATAGCTCTCCTCACTATACAGACTAACTGTCAAACTACTACAGGCTCAAGTCAAGAAAGCTTAACCAAAACAGATAATAACTTAGATAAAGTAGTAACTAATAATTGCCATAGTTGTCAAAATAGTAATAATGAAAAAATAACAATAGATAATAAACGATCAGTAAAAAATGAGAGTGTAAATGCTGAAATGGTGAAAGAAGATGTCGTTAATGATATAATTGACATTATCGGAACGATCACGAAGAGATATGTTCTTGTTAATATGACAGAGACACGACTCGAGAATGAATTAGAAAGAATTCTTGACAAGACATTGGGCAAAGAAAATTTTGAAATCGCCGATGGGATAGAAATAAAATCCATAAGTGACACGGAGAAAAATATGTTAAAATCAAAAAGTGACGAAGGGAGAGCCTTATTTAGCAAATTCAGTTATGAATATAGATTATATCAAAAATTTAGAAACTTTATTGATACTCATGTATTATCAATAAATTTGCCTAAAGCAGCGAAACTCATGGGGTTCAGATGTAAGTACCTAACATTTCTCTTTAGTATTTTGAGTCGCTATTTGAACATTAAAACTGTTCATAAATTGTAAATACTTTATTAACAGCATTAATTGAAAAATACAAACTTCAAATAATTTTTGCTTTGAACTTATCGCATTCACGTCGTACTATAAATAATGTTAAATTGATACCCCCCGCATTTGGTCTATGCGATAAATTAATTATTACATCCTCTTTTTTCTGAATTTCAATTAAAAGGCAAAGGCTCACATCATTCAGCCGCTTGAACTAAGAGGAAATTAGAATTAATTACATAACTTCTTCTCAATTTTAGAAAACGAGCTTACTTAAATAATTGACATTCTATCGAAACTCGTGACAATATGTCCTTGAGGTATTAAGCTTAATGGTTTGAGCGAAAAGTCTTAATGTGAAGCTTTGAATCTTATAAAATTTATTACCTTTTAAGTAGTAATACAAAAGGTATTACCAACCTACCTAAAAGTTATGAAAATTAATCGTTTTAGACAAAAATACAGCAATTAAGATGTTTGTTTATTCACGGGATTCCCTTTATCTGACAGAATCATGTTGCTCCGAAATTCATTTGGCATAATCTTCTTTAAACGAAATTATTGAAAAGCATATTTTTTATTAAAACTCGTACTACGTAATTAATTGTATAAAGTAGCAAGGTAATGGCCCTTGCTACTTTACGGTAATCGGACTGACAGGTAATCTGTGTGTTTTTATTTTGTTAATTTGCAAAAATTATAGGATTAATTATTAAACAGCCATATCTCAAGCCTGATCAGAAAAATAAAATCTATTATTATTTAATATTATTATTCAGTGGTATATTATAATAAAAAATAGGGCCGAATATGTCAAATTTTTTAGGAAATTGGAATTAATATTGTTTATTTCGATATACCTACTTACCTAAATATTTTTTGTGTACATTAATTGTTCATTTATTTTTGTAAAATTGAACATTTTCCTTCTGAAACAGACATGAAGTCAATTTCTGTACTTGTAAATATTTGATTATTTCACGAAAGTTGTATGAGAATAATAAATAAAAAAAAATATAATGTTACGGGCTAGTGCGCAATTATTATACAAGTTAAGGGCAGTTTTTTAGCCATGTCCTTTATGCCCAAAGATGATTCTGTCTTACAAAATTATGCGTTTGAATGTCTGCTTAATGAGTGAATCTAAATGATTTTCTGCGAAATTTAGTTTATGCCATCCGCTAGCATAATAATATTATGACATTAAAAGTTCTGTGTTACAAGGTAGGCCTTTATTCACGCGGTTTAAATGACAAGTTCCTGGTTATTATTAGCTTAAATTTTATCACAGCTCCTAGTTTATTTGATCGAGTTTAACAGTTAACTTTAATTATAGGAGCATTACTTAATGTATGCGTCTTGACTAAACAGTTATTTAATTTTTAGAGTTCCGACGGCCGAATTAATTCGCATGAAATGTAGCATATGTGTAGTTTATCACATAGATTGACACGTAGTGTAATTTCCATCTTGGAAATGTTAGGTTTTTTGGGTTTTAAAAAAAACTAACAAAACTGCAAACGAAATCGTGGGAGCAATCAATACAAATAATGGAAAGCAAGTAATAATAATAATAATATTAAATTATTTATTTGTTTCAACATACAATTGGTACAATACACAAATAGAATGACAGTAAATAATTGAAACAAAAAGGTATGTGGCTCAGCATATGACAGTCAAGTTTTGACTTGTCGCTGGTATTCTGCCACCACCTCACAATTATTATATTCTAAAAAACACATTAATAAGTAAGTAAGTAGTCATTAATAAAGCAAAAAATACGTACTTACGCTAAGTAGTACCAATATTTATTGTTACTTACACTGATACGTCGCGTCGGAACAATTTAGAATTTGCTAAAATTCTTTCACAGGCAAAGATCCATACGAGCTGGTTTTATTTCGGGTTCCATTACCACTCAGAAAAGGCAGATGCGTTAATCTCTTGAGAATTACTCGCAAAGATACGCGTATAGAATATAGCCAATAAAACAACGCAAGAAATTGTTCACTTTATATAACATCGACCATGATATTTGTTATCTTGGAAATCTGATAAATATAATATACTATAGTTGTACGTCCTTTGAAAATCATTGGTGTAACTTAAGATAGATTTCTAAGTTTATGTATGTTTATATTTCCCAAGCTTTCTTACTAAGATTATTGTTTAAAACCGATACAAGTTATTTATATAATGTTATTTTATGTTATAGCTTTTGGTCTTAACAAATTCTTCGTGCCTCTACTGATTGGCGGACAAGTGCTGTTGAAGTCGATTTTGTTCGCAATGTTCTTGCCGAGCATACTTGGCAGTTTTGGGAAGATATTAGGAAAAGGTAAGGTTACATTTTTGATATTTTTTTCTTGAATTTGATTCATTTGTTTGCTCATGTCTGTCACTGATTATTGTGATTATATTTTTATAAATATGCTTTTGTCAATCTTGAAACTTGAAAATTTACTTTGAGGATATTTTTTTATCGAATCATTAATAACCCTCTTCTTTGTGTACCTATTAAGATTAAGCAGGACTCCTATAATAACGTACTACTTAACATAATATGCAAATATACTTATAAAAAAAATCCAATTATTAATCATCAGTCTTCAGATATTCAATAGAAATTAATGTCGAAGAGCATATTTAAGAATTCTAAATCACAAGTGAAAAAACATAATGAGAAAATAAATGTTATTTTGAAATAAAATTTAGGTTTCAATAAGTGGTTACCAATAAAATGTATCTAAAGTTTAAGATCATATTCTAGGTATTTCCCAGTTATCAGCAACATCCAGTCAAGCCAGCTATCCACCGGCGAACACTGACGAACAAGCAGGTTACAGCAATGACAACAAAGACTTCATGGGTTACGAAACCAACCCAGCGGGGGCTTATGCGTACCCCAACGACGGTCTCTACGGGAACATGGATCCTAACGAGGCAAATGATCTGTCTAACGTCGATATGTCAAGGTTAAATTTACTTTACACGTCTTAGCTTAAAACTAGTATAGTTTCTCAACCATAATGATCTTTAGATATTTGATAATCTTACGATCCCGTCTCTCACTCGAGAAACTTGAAGATATACTTAAAATGGATAGTTACATCATCATTACAATAAGAGCGATCGTATATTATTCTAGAAAACTTTTGTTTGTCAATTAAAATGTAATCGATAAAATTATTTAAAAAAAACTAATATCATAAATCTAGTCTTAACTTATTTTCCTTTATCTATGACAATGTTGAATATTAACTCAATTTCGTACAATGTGTAATCCGGCAAAATTCAATTTCCAGATTTGGCCCTGGAGGAATGAAAGTATCATATCTGCCCTCCAAGAACGGATATTACAAAAACCAAATGGCTGCCACCAACAATTACAAGGTACCTTAGCTCCAAGTTATTTAATATAATTGTTGGTTTGAGAATCTCTCATAAGAATATTAGTTTTCTTGAATGAATTACTTCAGTTGTCTTTCTATTTTTTATTGAGATCCATACTTATGTATGTGCGTATGTATATGAATAAATTATTATATCAGTGTGAGGCTATGAACATACTACAAACGACAGGCCATGTTAGATTTTTATTTGCTTTTAAGACTGTATAATTTACTATGTCCTAGCAAATAACTGCTTAATTATAATTATTTTTAAAGCTTCTTAATTAATAAATGAAAGAAAACCTGTTATGGTGTATTTCGCTTTTTTCCATCAATTTACAAAAAAGTTTTGCTAATTTTAGAGCTAATATGTTTGACTTTATAATAGACAAGCCTTTGTCCACGGCTTTTAGCGGAGTGGAGAAGAGACGTGTATTTTGAGCAATGCGATTGATAATTTTTTGAAGACACTGCTATTGCATTTTGCGTTCGGACCATTTTCTTAGTATCAGTGTTGATTTTGCTAATGATTTCGTTTCTTGGTGCGACAATAGCTCATGCACATAGACATTGATTTCAATATTTTTGTAAGTCTAGCTACATTTATTTGATCAGTTAAGCTAAATTCCATATATTTTCATCAAGTTACTAAAAAATATTGCATATGTTGCCAACAAAAGACTGCGTAACCAGTCGACATTTTATATTCGACAAGCTTTTGCCCGCGGCTTTGCTCGCGTTAATGTTAATTTTGTAATCCAATTCTGATTATTGGTCAATAGGATCGATCGACAGGAGGAGATATACTACTTGCAAAAAATATAACCAAACATTTATTGGTTCTGTAATGTTTTGCCTCGCCCGGAACTGCTGATTCCTTATTTTCGTTTTTCTTGTACTTGATCGATACAATCATGGACACAAATTAGAGCATTACTTACGGATGCTGTTTTGTACTATAATGTTTACCTTCTCATTACATAGCTCATATATATTTCGCGTGATAAATAGGTGAACTTAATTTCAATTGAAGTTTATGGGAGGGTAATTTAACGACAACCCAAGAAATTTTGATTTCTTTGTTTTGTGTCCATGATTGTTAATATAGCCAGATATCTACACATTCAGGATGTATTTCCACAAAATCGGAGCTGTGCGGAATTGAGCAGAGCAAAGCCGTGTAAATAGGCAAGTGTTTCCATTGAAGCTGTGCGAATACGAGCGTTGCGGAGCTGAGCGAAGCTGTCTGAAGTGGAGATGAGTGGAGTGGAGCTGATTGAAGATGAGCTGAGCGAAGCTATGAATAAATTTTATTTGTAGTCAGTTAAACAATTGAATAAAGCAATGCAACGGCTCTGCCCAGCTTAACTCTGGGCTCTCACTAACGCTGCTCCCACTAAAGTGGAGCGGAGAAGATATGTGTATTTTGAGCAATGCGATTGATAATTTGTTAAAGACACTACAATTGCTATTTATGCACGCACCTCTTTTATAGTATCAGTATTGATTTTGCGAATGATTTTGTTTCTGCGACAATCGCTTTTGCACATAAACATTGATTTGAATTTTGTTGTGAGTGTAGAATAATTTGATCACATGGTGTTTAATTTAACTGTAGATAACTTTGTCTATAACTAATTTCCAAGCCGCGCAGTCAGTCAAGAGCCGTCATACACCTAGCTACGACTCCGTATTGTTCCTTCAGGCCGCCCCCTGTGGTATTGATAACAAGCTTAATATGATCGTTACATTTTGCGCTTAATATTCAATTGGCAGATGCTGACAGAATTTCCAGCATCTTTTGTCTGGTAGCTTTGATAAGAGCCGCTTGGGAATGAATTGTGCGACCGGCATCTACTGTTACCCATAATGGTAAACGATATTATTTGTATCGTTATGGATTGAGTAAGCTTACCGTGGTTGATGCTTTTTGTTTAGCGCTACTTAGGCGACCACGTCCAGTGTTTCAAAATTTTCTCCTGTCGCGTGAATAATGTTCATCCCGTAAGTCCCTATAATCTTCAGTATCCGTGTCGAACCGTCGCCAATTATAAGTAGTCTCATATTCGTTACTAGGCAGAATTTGAAAGAAGCAATATAGGGTACCTTACGTAATCTCTTCTTGTACTTCCAATCCTCAAATGCTTCGTCCTTACTCTATTGATTTACACTATTCATTACAGTTTTCTAATAAGTAGTAGCTTGTAATAAAAATTATTTACGAAGAAAAATTAGCTTACAACTCGGACGCTGCAGTCAGATTTTGGTATTGGAACGAAGATCCTATACGGTCGGTATGGCGGATGGGGGCTAGTCGAAAATTTACCGTCACAACCTAGCGAGGCAGTCAGCTAGGCGACTAGCAGCTGGGTGGGTAGCTAGATGCTCAGCGAGGTAGACGACCACTGACGCCGGTTATTGTTGGTATAGTGCTGAATGGTTCCAGTGGGGAATTGGTTCAGTGCGGACGCCCCTGGTTCATGGCCACTGCTCCCAGTCCATCGCAAACGCTCCTTGTCCATCACTCACCTGAAAAATTTTAAACCAAGTCTACAATAACCGTCGTTTGTGGTCGTTCACCTCGCTGCCCATCTAGCTACCCACTCAGCTCCTATAAATGTAATATTTACCAAATTATACAATGTTATATTTAACATCATTTTATGTGCATCTTTTCCAGGTGTTCCAGAAGATCCCAGCTTCCTCTATGATTTTGAGCAACTACGACCCGTTCTACTCACCTCTTCTCTCAAGACTTGATGGCATTTTTGCAAGGCTCGGTGAGTTTCTATTAGACAAAAGGAATTCACAATTTCACCCTAAGTATTCAGATTTTCTTAATATCTCTAAAAATAAAAGCTTACAAACTCAAGAGTCCTAGAATTTGAAAAGCGTAGGTATCTATAAGACAAGGCTAAGATAGCTGAAGCTAAATAACTATGATAGCATCCAAATGCTATCTCTTTCATTTTATGGGAAACGTAATGGGAGAAAACATATATTTCTTAACACCCGAAATTTTCAAGTTTGTGACTGGCAACCCTGAATGCAGCTCACTACAAATAAGGTCATAGCTAGCGGTGAAAGCAAAGTGTCACGATTTGTATTAAAATGGACGTTTGCAATGTAAATTAGTCGACTTGTTAATGAGAAATGGCAGCTTGAATTTGATGAGAAATACTTGCCAAAGAGCGCTGGAGTGGGGCATAAGTATTAAGGCTGGAGATCTGTAATCTTCGAAACTTGACTCCACTTAAACCTAAAATCAGGCAGAATAGAGCCTATATCAAACCTAGAATAAAATTTAAAATCATTTCACAAAAGTGCAAACATTAATAGTAATGTTTATCAGTAAAGTTTATGACTTATACTTGTTTATAAAACTACCGTGAGACGCTGCGTCAGTCAGCAGTTACCAGTTTCTATTTCTTTACCAGATTCTTAATCTGTCTCTGTAGTACGATCTACAAAATTTATTTGTTGACAATGCATTTACATATGGTTATTATCAAACGAGTTTATTTAGTCACTAGCTTCTGACTGCGGCTTCGCTTGCGTTAATGTTGATTGTGTCGACGGTTGGATTGGATTGGATCCGACGAAAGGAGGAGATGTAATACCTGCAAAAATAAAATGAAATGATCATACTTTTATTGGTTCTGTAATGTTCTACCTCCTCCGGAAGAATGAATAAAATTGAAGATTTCTTATTTAACAACATTAATAACTTTTCTTGTACTTGATCAGTACAACGGACACAAAACAGAGCATTATTTGCGGATGCTGTTATGTTACCTTCTCATTACGTAGTTCATTATATATTTCGCATTATATAACTGGTGCACCTAATTTTAGGAGTTGATGCGAGGTTAAAACTCGAAAGCTCAAGAAAATTTAGAAACTCCGCGGTATAAGAACTTCTTGGGTGTGTGTCCATGATTGTGAAATTTGCCTGATATCTACACATTTAGGGTGTTTCCACAAAAGCGGCGAGTGTTTTCATTAAAGCTGAGCCATGCAGAGCCGAGCGGAGCTGTGTGAATTAGGGATAAGTGGAGTGGAGCAGATTGAAGCTGAGCTAAGGAAAGCTGAAATGCACGTTATTTCCAGTCAGTTAAACAATTAAATAAAGCAATGATACCTCTTCGCTCAGCTCGACGCCACCTAGCTTAGCATTACAACACTACGCTCTTCCCAGCTTAACTCTGCGCGCTATACATTTTGATGTTGTCAACTCCATTTATATTGTTACAGCTAAAGCGGAGCGGAGCAGAGATGTGTATTTTGAGCAATGCGATTAGTATTTTTTTTAAAACATGTGTATTTTGAGCTATGCGATTGGATTTTTTTAAAGACACTGTTTAGCTTAGCTTATATGGATATGCAGGCTTATTTGCGCACGCACCTTTCTTATAGTGTCAGTGTTGATTCTGCGAATGATTTCGTTTCTTGGTGCGACTTTCGCTCTTGCACATAAAAATTTATTTAACTCTTGTTGTGATTCTAGATTTATTATGATCATATGGCGTTTATTTCTTTCTTCACACACACCGCTCATTAAATGAAATTAGTTTTACAAAGATTCGAAAATGCGTTTTTAATACTTTTTTACTCATTCTTTTCAGGATGCGTCAAGTATATGGTTTTTATTTACGTTACCTTCGAAAGATACTTCATTGAAAGATTGACGACACACCCTGAAAAGGATACAAAACGTCGATTTGTGAAAAAGTATTAAAAACGCATTATAAACACGTTAAAAGCCACTTTCATTATTTTATACTAGTGGCCCGCCCTCGCTTCGCTTCGGGGTAGAATTGATCAAAATCCTTTCTTAGCGAATGCCTACGTCATAACATCTACCTGCATACCAAATTTCAGCCCGTTCCGTCCAGTGGTTTGGGCTGTGCGTTGATAGATCACTATGTCAGTCAGTCACCTTTGAGTTTTATATATATAGATTAATTTAATTGTAGGTAACTTTGGCTATAACTAATATCCAAGTCGCGCAGCCAGCCAAGAGCCGCAGTACACTCCGTAAAGTTCCTTCAGGGCGCCCTCTGCGGTAGGGATGCTTTGGACATTGTTATATTTTACGCGGCTGAAGCCTTCAATTTTCAATTGGCAGATGCTTCGAATGTTCAGCATCGTTTGTCTGTTGGCTCTCATAAGGGCTGCTTGGGTATAGAGAATATGCATGATTATTTATTAAAATTTTAATTTATACTTTACATCAGGGCGCGCTACCCACGGGACTATAAGCCGTTTTTTGTAATAGTTAGAGCCTACTTTTGTATGAAGAAGTTTAACCATAGATTAACTTGGCGAAATGACCTATCTCTAGAGCCGTAAAGTTTTAAATAGCCCGCAAATACTGCTTATGCGGACCCCGAGCCGTTAATATTATGTAGTATAAAAAATTTCAACGTCGCAAAAATAGTGTATTAAAAATATTTTTTAAACAGATAATTTGATGGAGGCACAATTCAAAAGTAATATATTTTATATACATAAAAAGGTTTGAGCCTTATTTGAATAACATGCATATTCCCTATTGGTTATGCGACCGGCATCTGCAAGCCAGCTTGGTTGCGTTATTTTTTTTATCGTTTTGGATTGAGTTAGCTAAGCCTGGTTGTTGCTCTTAATTTTGCATCCATCAATAGAGAAGGCCTGTGCTGGAGCACACTGGATATTATTATAGTGACAATTATGATTATTTCTTCTGCTACAGGTCTGGCTCCCGCAGACAACGCAGTGGAGAGTTCCACCCACATCGGTGGTCAGAGCTTGAGTGACGTCAAGCTTGAAGCATGCAGGGAGCAGCTCATATGCCTGATGTACGCCAGTCCCGCCAAATACGCGCCATACAGCAACCTGGTGTCGGCGCAGCTAAGCAGGTAAACTGTGACCAAATATTGAATATTATTAAAAGAATTTCCAATGGCGAGACGATTAATATATAACACTTATTTGCAAAATTTAAACCTGTGGAAAAGATGCGTGCGTGTGTGTGTGTGTGTGTGCGTGTGCGTGCGCGTGCGTGTTGTGTGCGTGTGCGTGTGCGTCTGCGTGTGTGTGTGTGTGTGTGTCTGTATGTGTGTGTGGGAAGCGTGCGCAGCTCTTTCCGACGAGCATGAAAGTTGGAGGGTAACTCGGCGAAGGCTGAAACGCTACGAGCGACACATGTGACAATATATATAAATACATTTTAAATGAGTGATGCGTGCGCTGCTCCATTCCCCTATGCACCAACTTATGTTAGGTTATTTAAGAAAAGAAGTTTCACTTCAGATGTTTGGTCCGTGCACACTATTTTTATTTTCATTAGAAGTATAGCAAATAATTTCATCCCCTTTTAACCTTCTTAAGCAACGATATGAAATACCCTAGATACATCACGAGCGCTCAAAATGTGTCCTAATCAAGAAGTGCTTGAACACGACTCAAACACCCCTTGATTCACAGTTACGCGCGGACCGTTGAAAAGTCAACATGCCGCTGAACTCCGTGAAAACAGGCGAAAGAAATACATAAAGAATGTAAAATGTTGTTTATTCGACATGTATCTATCAATGTTTGTTAATTTAACGCATTTGAAATAAATTTTGTTTAATACTTACTATAAACTGATTTAATAGAAAATATTATTGATATTCAAATGCATGGTCGATAATATAGCCATCTCTTTCCTCGCGGACCGTACCTGCTACATTATTGACAGCGCATTCAGAATTGCGCGTAGAGTCAAAGAAGTAAGGTCTTTATTCTTCTGCATATAGCAATAAGTCGTAAAATTTTACTTATACTATTTTTATATCAGACTGTCATAACTCTATGACGCGTGTGTTTTAATTAAGACCTTATACAGTACGCTAGTAATTTTCAATGTTTAAATAATGCCTTATATTGTTTAGACTACGAGATCATCTTACGGAGCTCCGTGGATCGTCCAATGTACCTTGTGGATAGGTTTCCGCCATGATTTTATTCGTGTTGGTGTATCTAGGGTATTTAATGTCGTTGTTCTTAAGGCCAATTTATAAATTTTCGGATAATATTTCTCTGCTGAATAACTGATTTCCATATCAAAAGCAAAGTCGTCCACAAAATCCTAAATGAACATGAATGAACGCAACTCTTCAATTGGTCCATTTAAAACGCTACAGGACGAATAAGTTTTTATTGCGAGCCCCAAAAAATCAACCCTTAACCTACTTTTTAGGTCGCTCGTTAACGAAACGTTTTTCACCGGGTCCATTTCGGTAACAAGCGCACTTACAGTTTCAGTTTCTTAAACTTTTCATAATACTGGCCACTTTCGGAATAGGGTATTTGACAAGTTTTAGAAAACGATCTCACGTTATTGACTAATGTTTATGGAGTCCATAAAAAGTGAATATTCATCATTCTGTTGTGTGTTTCAGTAAAAATAACCAAATCAAAAACTCCATTTTCAAGTTGCCGCGAAAATGTTTCTCTGGACAATATGGCGTCTCATTGGTGTGTGACGTCACACGACTGTTATTAAAACGTCAAACGATACATTGTAATGTCACTTTAACCGGAAGTTTACTTGCGTGTGACGGCATTTTAGGCTCCACCAATTCCAAGCGTTTTGGGTCACGTGACAATAGATAAGAAAACTATTATCTTTTGCGTTGGTTTTTAGTAAAATTATGAATATTTTTTTTTTGTAAAAAATAGCTAACAATTGGCACTTTATTTTTAACACTGTCAAATACCCTATTCGAAAAATTACGAACCGTGTGTATTAAAAAAACAATTGTTTGATTGTCAGTTTCTTTCACTTCGTTAATAAATACTTAATTAAATGTTAAGGATAAACCGCGCTATTGTGAAACCCTTATAACATACTTAAGGCCCCTAAGAGGCCAATTGATCTATTTTATTACGGAACACGGTATTAGCTGTTCGCCACGACGCCCATTGCTGAGCTAGCCCTCTCCCAAAGATCTCCGTACGTATCGTCCCTAAACTCTGCGCATTCAGGCATGCCCTGATTTTATCTCCTACCAAATCTATACAAAAAATTACATCTAATTATAATGATACCGTATTTATATTCAACCAGATAGTTCCGATCTTATTTCCAATACAAACACGCAAGCCAGCATCAAGATTAACGCAAGGACGCAAATTGGGTTAGCGAATACGGTACAAGGGGGATGTACCCGCCTGCTCTTATTACCGTTAATTTAATTCGGGATCCCTTTACAGGTAACAGTATAAAGTACTGAACCCAACATAACAGTCCCTGTACCTACTCTTAAGATTGTCTTTGGATATAACGTGATCGACTATAAGATATTTACTGTGGCCACTATTCCTACACGAACAAAGAAATTTGGTGACTCATTTCTTTGTCGTACTATTCGTAAGTGGAATTCTTTGCCCGCGCTTGTTTTCCCTCCTGCCTACAATCTGGGTTCCTTTAGGAGAGGTGCGAGGAAGCATTTTTGCAGGCCGGCAAGATGAGAATGGTCGGTGTAGAATTTATAACTGCTGTACCAGCTATCTTCGCATTTGGACTTTATCACCACTTAACATCAGGTTTGGTAGAGTCAATTGGCTACTTGGCTATAAAAAATATGTTATTATATTTACAAAATATATCTGGCGACGTCCTACGTAGTGTAGGACGTCCTCAGGCACGATGGAGTGACGATTTGCGCAAGGTCGCTGGTCTAAGATCGATCTCAGTGGCGTGCAATTGGGGAGGCCTATCTTAGTCCAGCAGTGGACTAAGATAGGCTGTTAATGATGATGATGATTTACAAAAATACAAGGCGCATGGTGGCAATCCCGTTAATAACATAAATTACTATACAGGGTGGTCCAACTAGTGACGTCAACAATTTTTTTTAGATTCCTCGCACTTGGGGATATCCCTAAATTCGCCATGTATGTTCCGCGATTTTTGTTAGTTTTCGAGTCATATTTTTTTTGTGTATTTTTAATGATTTCTGCCAGCGAGGTTTCAAAAATTCATATCTTTATTCGTAGTATATGCAGTCTATTGCAGTCATATATAGTGTTAGTGAACATGGAAGTTTAAACAATATAACGTATTTGTTTTTTTAAGTTTTCACGCACACCACTCATTAAACGCGTAAACGGATTCAAATTTTCTGAAAAATTCCCTTTTCAGGCTACGTCGTCAGAATTATGATTTTTATTTACTTTTGTCGAGCTACCTTCGAAGTAGTTTAATTAAGCGTTCGGATATCATTCAATCTTTCAATGAAGATGAACGCAATGAGTTGAGTAGGATACAACACGACGAATTTCACGATACATCGAGTGTTAATTTCAAGAATTGCCTACACGTAAACGCAGCCTTAAATTTCCTTAATCGATTCTGAATCTTATACAAATCAAGATAAAGCTTAAAGTCACTTGATCAGATTCGACAGTTTTGGGTAACTGAAAACCTGTTGTTTATTGTACAGAAGACAACATATTAGACTAATAGAGTGTTCCAATTTCCTCAACCGGTTTGTAACTTTAAAGTAGAGAAAGTAAGGTGCATAATTTATTTGAGAAATTTTAGTTTGTATAAATAATTTATTTATAGGTTAAGAGCTAAATTCCGTTGGATATAGTTCGTGACTCGATATGCTTGCACGCTGTATCTAATATAGCAATATTGGTTGAGTGCATGGAAAGTCACAAAGTTATTTTTTAGCCTTAACATGTAGGTAAAGACAGTATAGGTAGTATTGCCAGGCGTCCCGATTTGCGCGGGATGTCCCGATTTTCAGGGGTCTGAGGCCGCGTCCCGGTTTGTACCTGATCGGAACGGTAAATGTCCCGATTAATCAAAAAAATGAAATTTAGGTAATTAATTTTATTTATTTTTATTTATTTTGGTTACATGAAAGACCGACAGCTTATCTTTATATACTAGAAATGAATAGTAGCGACAAAGAGCCAATTACAGGTCCTCACATCTAGACATAACTTAAAATTATAAAGAAACTATTTGCACTGTCCAATGTAAAAAAATCTCTTAAATATAGTTTTATAAATGAGGTCCTTATGTTAAATAACAGAATAACAAATTACGCACACGTTAATTAATAACACTTGTACACTTACACTAGTAGTTTGAAACGCAATAAATTAAACCCAGACTTTAAAAAAACCCTTGTTTTTTGTTTACTGTCCTGATCTGCAACCCTAAATCCCGATTGTTTTGACCTCATTAAATCGGTACTTAAAACAAATTGGATCTGACAACACTAGTCATAGGTAAAACTAATAGTCCTTAACTACCAATACATGTGTGAAAGTATTACAGACAAACAGAGCAACTTTCAAATTCTATATAATATTACTATTAATTTGCATACTTAAATCATATGAGTAAAGAAACGGTTATTTTTTCCGGTTGGTGTGCTTCGATTAGTGCAATTAAAACAACTAAGTAAGTATATTTTATTTTGCCAATTTAAGGTAGGTATTTGTCAAATATTTAAACTGGTTCAATTATAAAGTAATCCCGGAGTTCCCCTTTTGATTAAACACTATAAAACAAGAGCGCGAACGTTTCAGATGTGTAAAAATAGATTTATTTTTCACATAAATCGATTCAGTCTCGCTCAGTCAGGCTGAAACTTGTAGGTATCGATATAAGACTGTTATAAAGTCCTGGAAAATCCCGTTAAGAAAAAAAGTTTTTTTTTTAAATGCTTTGTTTTACTTGAGCCACTATTAAGACCATGAAAAAGAGGTTTATCAGGTCTTTATTACGATTGATTAAAAAAAATAAGTTCACTCTGATAAATCCCGCAAATACCTGGATCAAGCGGGATAAAGATAGTTCAATCCCGTTGCGCCTCTCCCGGTGTTAGCTGCGCCTTAGGCTATAAAACAG